CAAGATCTGTAGGATGAGTCAGCAAGCCGGAAACCCAGGAGAGCTGATAGAGTGGTTGTAGGCTTGAAACCCAAGAAGAGTGGATTTTTTAGTTGGAGTTAAATGCCAGGAAAAGCCATGCCCCTGTTCAAAGGCAGCCAGGCAGGGGGAGTTCTCTCTTGCTCATGGGAAGGTCAGCCTTTCTGTTCTATTCATATTTCTAACTGATGGGATAAGCCCCACCTACATTAGGGAGGGCAATCTGCTTTATGAGGTCTACCAATTTAAATGTTAGTCTTTTCTTTTTTTTAAGATTTTATTTATTCATTTGACAGAGAGAGACATAGTGAGAGAGGGAGCAAAAGCAGGGGGAGTGTGAGAGGGAGAAGCAGGCTTCCCTCAGAGCAGGGAGCCCGACGTGGGGCTCAATCCCAGGACCCTGGGATCATGACCTGAGCCGAAGGCAGATGCTTAAGACTGAGCCACCCAGGCACCCCGATTTAAATGTTAGTCTTATCCAAAAACACACTAGGGAGGGTAAGTACTACGGTGAGCGCTGTGAATTGTGTAAGACTGATGAATCACAGACCTGTACCCCTGAAACAAACAATACATTATATGTTAATAAAAAAATTAATAAATAAATAAAAACACCCTCACAGAAACATGCAGAATAATGTTTAATCAAATATCTAGGTACCCTGTGGCCCTGACAAGCTGACATATAAAATTACCTATCCTAAACTGATAAATATTTAAATCCACCAAATGAAGGTAACAAGAGAAGCCAATAAAACCTTAGTGAGAATGAGCTAGCCTTTCTTCCTCTCTGACCACAGCTGAGCTAGAGTCAGGGTTAACTGTGAGGAGAAAAATACAGCAGTCAAATAGCCTACATCATGAGTGAGTTTTTGGTTAAATGGCAAGAGTAAGCACGCTTATCCCCAAATGGGCCCCTTGCCCTCACAGTGTTTAGGGGATATATCAAGTTTTTTGAACTCCTACTTCAATCCATGTCATTGTCATTCCATGAGGGAAAAGATCTGGTTGGCCTTTTGGGTCACCTGATTTTAAAGTTGTTTTCAAATCTAAGGCAGAGACAGAAATTGCCTCTTGGCAATCTTTCCAGGGCTCACGCTTGTGGTTGTCTAAACAGCCCTGACCACATCTGGATAGTTTTCGTATTAGAGAAACTCTGAATTTAATAAAAAGTTAAAAACAGGCAGCCTGAATTGCTTATACTTGGTTGGACAACTGCTTCCAAACTCATCTTAATTTCATGAAAGAACAAATACCTATCCGTCCCAAATCCCATGTAAGACAACTGTGCTCTACCCTTGTTCCTTTTCTACTTACTAGCATTTAAAGTTATCTTGCTAAAGAAGGTAGAAGGGGGCAGAAGCTTTGCCGCTCTTGCGGAGTGTTAGTGGGGAGGAAAGGAAAACAGGAGTGCTATCTTGTCTTTTCAGTAAATGGTTTGGCCCTGAGGTCAAGCTCCCTCATATCCATGTGACCAGCTAAACTCCATCTGAAGCTGAGAAAAAAGTTATTACCATTTAAGATTAGATGAACACAGAATTTAAACTGTAGCCTTAGACTTGCTAGGGAATGCCCGGTCATGTAGAGGTTGGTGTACATGGGATATTGTTCAATGTAATGCCCAAGAGAAGCATGCAATGAGTTTAAAGAGGCCCCATACAAGAAAATGCAGGATAAATCACATTATGGGATGAGGAGAAAGCTAAAAAGAAGAGGGACCGGTATGTGTCCTTCATATAAAAGCAAGGAGCACCTGACTTTAGAACCATATATATCTTCACTGCCCAAGATTCGAGGACCATGTCAGGTTTGACTGTGATGAGCAGCCACATCTGGTTTAATAAATTCAGGCAAATTATACAATCTTCTTGAACGTGTGTACCTTTGCCTCCTTATGGAATTTAGAATTCACTACTTTAACTCCTTGATGGCCATATCAGAGGAAGTCCTAGAAAAGTGGAAGGTTTTCTTTTTATAGCTAGTGACTAAGTGAGGGATAGGACATAATTTGCAAAAGCTAGCTCACGTCAGAGATCCTCATGAGCAAAGATGGTGGTATTCCCAGTATATCATATGTTTCCCAGAATTTGTAAGAAAACATCTTAATCTCCTGGCAGAGTATTCTGGGTAAAATGACAGAGTCATTTGTATGTCACATTTATTTAATGCACAAGCATGCTAACTTTATGAAGACAGGAATTTCTGATTTGCCCATCTAGAACAGTCTCTACCACATAGGTACCAACAATTTTTTTAACTTTTATTATTATTATTTTTTTACAGTATAACCTTACAAAGGTCTTGCCAGGACCCTAAGTCCTTGGGATTTCTCTCTCAGTGTATCTCTGTTACCTATCCCTCCCTGTATATACATACATGGATACGTGTGTATGCAACCGTCTACACATACACTCGCATATACATATTTGTGATACATGTATATCTATATATTTACCAAATCATTTGCATTTTAGAAATAATATTTATATTATACTTACTTTAAACATCTAGCACTTAGGTTACACACACATTATTGCTGTGTATCCACCAAATGCTGAAGCTTTAGACTCAAAGCATTAATGATAATATGCTGTATCTTAAATACTGTTTATGCTTTGCACAGCTACACTTGCATACAATATTGTTAACTCTTAATAAAGCAAGTTTTCAGCTTAACAATAAGAGTCTCTTTGTTTAGGAACTTTAATTAGAAATTTGGTTAGTGGGACAATTCTGTGGAGGGTGTACTTTAGGAAAATGGGAAGAAATTACTGGACAAAACTCAAATTACAGCCTTACATCCTGAGCAACAAATTCTACGGGAAATCCTTGCTCACATTTTACAACAGAACTGCCCAGAGAAGTCTTGCCATAATACAGGTTCACATTTACAGACATCAGTTACTAATGCAATACACCCCTTGGGAGGATCAGAGCAGCTCTTCCTAGGGCTTGATATCGTATCGTTCCATTTTCAACCAGAGAGCTCTGGGGCCCAACCCTGCACGTAAAACAAAGCAAATGCTCAAAAATGAGTGTTCAGTCTTTAAAAGACAAGTTCACCACCCTTGGAGGTTTGTTTTTTATTTATTTATTTATCTATCTATTTATTTATTTGAGAGAGAGAGAGAGAGAGAGAGAGAGAAAGAGTATGAGAGGGGAGGGTCAGAGGGAGAAGCAAATTCCCTGCCAAGCAGACAGCTCAATGCGGGACTCGATCCTGGAACTCCAGGATCATGACCAGAGCTGAAGGCAGTCGCCCAACCAACTGAGCCACCCAGGCGCCCCCACCCTTAGATTTAAGAGAAAATATTACCCTGACAATTTAGAAAATTCAGAGAGAATTAAAGAAGAGAATTTAAAATCACTCTTTGTTACACTTGTCCTAAATGTTTTAAAGGCATTCTTGTGGAACCACTCAGGTTTTCTATTATAAAACCTTTTTTTTTTTTTTAATAATGAGGACACTGGGAATCCTAGACTTTTTCTCTAGACAAGTCCTGTAGACATGAGACCCTTGCTGTGCTTCTGCTAATTTGCTAAAAAGGTGAAGATTTTTAGGATTTCAACATTTTAAAAAGAAGCAGAAGGAGTGATTCTATCTTAGAAATGAAGAAAAGAATTACCAGACAGGTAAGCCACGGCTACTGGATTGTACAGAATCCTAACTCAGGTGCCCTAAATCTGAGATGAGCTTTTTGTCCATTTGTTTTGTTTGTCTTCCCCAATTTGTGTACCAGTTTTCACCACAGCTGAGTATTTGCTGTCACTCGGAAAGCCCAGAGGTCTGGCCAGGCAACACTTTGGGTGTGAGAATGGATGTAGAGAGGTGGGCCATGGCAAAGTAGTCAAGTTGGGGGCCAGATTATGACATTTGGACAAAACTGCACAGCTGCAGTTGTAACAGATTATTTTAACTGATACTCTCGGGAAAAAGTAAAGCACAGAACTAGCCATTTGCCCTGTATTTGCCTCTTCCTCAGAGCCCATGAGTCTCATCCCGGAAAAGACTGATTCAAACTATAAAGACATTCATGAACGCAAAGTTTCAAAGAACAGCAGTGTTCCCTATGGGAAGAAGACCACACTCTTCCCCCAAACCAGCAGAGAAGCATTCTGTGAGCCCCATCTGTGCCAACCCCACAACATGGCAGGTTCCCTTAATATTGTGGAGCAACTCCCTTCATTCCATTCAGCAAAGATGAAGGTGTACAATGTTCTAGTCACTTCAAAGTGCAGGAGGCGAGGGTGGTATTGGCTGGTGGAGGGTTACCATGACTATCCTCCCATATCCCCCTACATATCCATGTGCACACAAATCACATAGGTGATCAGCTTTTCAGAAATTAGAATTAGATAGACTTTTAAAAACTAGTACCAACTTATTAAAATTTTCTTTAATATTCAGAAAGTACTTTGGGGATTTTTACAATTTTAAGATCATCTATTCTCAGTGTAAAGGAACATAGAAAAATGTTCACAGAAAACTAATCTGAAGTAGAATGACAACTCTGTGTGTGTCGTTTGTGTGTATGTATGCGCGTGTGTGTGTGTGTGTGTGTGTGTGTGTGTGTGTGTGTGTGTGGCACAGACTCCAGGAGTTTCCCTTAAAATATTCTCTTATTTCAGTATGTTGGCTGTTTTATTTCCTGTGACTGTCCCTGTCCCTTGCCCCCTTCTGGACTGTTTTGGAAAGAAAGAAGACATGTCTTAAGACTGAAGCTTTCTGTTTGCTTGGATTTTGAATAAATGGAAATTTGTTAGAATATCTTAAATACTGTTAGAAGCAACTGGTCACTTAAGAGCCTAGCTTCTCAGATGCTGTCAGTGGCCTTCTGAATCGGTGGGTATAAGAACACATATATCCACTTTACAGATGAGGAAACTAGGAACCAGATTGGAATGCTCTGGGGTTCCCTGCCTCAGTGGAGACAGAACCCAGGTCTCGGGCTCTTATTGGCCACAGCAAAATAAGTACTCACGTCATGATTTGAGTCTCCACTCCTGCCTCCACCAGAGCCCCGTCAACAAAGAGAGGAACCGAAGTGAAGCCATACTTGTCCCAGGAATGGCCCTCGTCAAAACTCACCCTGGGTTAGAAACAAGTACAGGAAAGAGACAGCTGAAAACCAAACCACACTCCTTTGCAACCATTTTTCAGGTTATTAAATTCTCCTCTGTATCTCACTTTCTGGCAGTTCGAATTATCAATAGACATTCATCTTCAACATCTCCCCATATTATTACGAGATTTGATCAAAACTGCATTTCCTGGCCCAGGCAGCACCAGAACTGCAGAAATATTTCAACATATTAGAATCAAAAAACAACAAAAAAAAACAGCCCAAGAAGTAAGGCTTAGAGGATGGAGTGTCACGTTTCAAGTACTCCGAATGGAACCCGAGGCTCAATTTACAGCACAATCAATCCGGTCTGTGGAGTCTCTGACACAGATAAATTGAGTAGTGCGGGGTGTACCCTATGGGAGGGGAGGTGTGTGTCTTTCAGATCAAACTTTAAAAGAAGCCATTTCCTATTTGTTCAGAATGAATGTTAGGATCGTTTTCCCTCCCCAGTGCCACTTTCAGGAGCTTTTAGAGATGAGTGCTGAGTGTCTAAGATGAACTGGGCAATACTGTGCCATCTTTCGTCCAATAGTAAGAAAAGGTCTGGCCCTTTGTGGTTATAGCACCTGAAACTCTTTAAAGGGAAGGTTACTAGTGGAGGAGACTGGGGCAATTTTGAGTGCTTGCTTCTTTCCCTTTCTTGATATTATCAAGTACCTGACCCTCCTTCTTCCCCAAGGCAGCTTTATTTGCTTCATTCCCTGTGATCCTTCTTGGCTAAATTAATTCTTAATTTCTTCCCTGACTCCATAACTCAGGATTCTCTGAGTTCAACTGAAGGAACTCTGTAGGCTTCTCCTCTTATAATGCTGAGTGATGACTTCTTAATGGACTCTAAATCCACGAATTCAAAACTATAATCTTGGGAGTTCACTGGTCATGTATGTCTGGTTTGTTGAATGACTCCTTAACACCACCCATACATCTTTATTATAATGTTTCTTACCTGATATTTAATAAATATAGGTCTGATTTTTCCACTGAACTGTGAGTTTTTTGAGGTCAAAGGCCATACTATTCATTTTTGCATTCCTAGTACCTAGCAGAAAAACGGGCATCTAGTTGGCACTATTTAATGTTAAATGAATAAATTAACAAAAGAAATAAAGAATGATTTACCACACTCTTCTAATCCATCCATTTTTTTTGAAGCATGCTTTATGCTGGCATCCATGAACTGGATGCAGGAGTCCCTCTGCCCATTACTAGTCAACCTACTCAGTCCATTCTCTACATATTTACTTCTTTGTCTCTCTCACCCTCTCTGGCTCTTTCTCTTTGTCTTATACTTTCTTAACATTTTTTTTTTTAATTTGTGGTATACCTAAGTCTATCTTCACAAAAAAAAGGAAAGCAGACAGTCTGACATTACGTTTTTATGAGTTCACAAATTATCAGTGTCTGTCTTAACTTTTTAAAAACAATTTTATTGAGTTATTTTTGACATGTAAAAATTGTATGTATTTACAGTGTACAACTTGATATTTTGATATATGTATACATTGTGAAAAGACTGCCACAATCAAGCCGGTCTTGATCAAACAGGGGTGGCAGGGTGGGGGCAGGAGGGAGAAATGAAGACACATTGGTCAAAGGGTTCAAAGTTGCAGTTATGCAAGAGGGGTGAATCCTGTGGATCTAATGTACATGATGATGACAGTTAACAATATTGTCTTGACTTTTAAGAACTTGGTCATGTCACACTTTTTTTTTTTTTAATAGGATGAAGGTTACATAACCACCAAGTTGACCTAGAGAATGTTGGGCAGATCTGAATGGCTTTTCTTGAAAATGAGTTTCTTATTTCAAAATGGAAAACAATTGAGAATGGACTTCACCTTTCTTAACATGGATCTGCTTGGTTCTTAAAATAATCATAGTTGTTTTCGAGTATGCTGTGGCCACTAACTATTTAACTAGGAGAGAAGTCTAGGAGATAAGAAATCATTTGTTTGGTTTTCTGTTTGGGCGACTAGGATAAACTGATTATTGTATTGATAGGAAGAAGCCAAAGTGAGCTGATGACCTCTGTCCTTCTCAGAATTTCCTGACCACTGAAGGTCATTATTAACACTAGCACAGGAAATAGCAGTGGGTGCTACCAGCATCCCAGGGAAGGAGGAGGCTTCGTGCCACTGCCATTGAGAACAAGGCAGAAGACAGTCATTGTTACTATGTACAATATGAAGACAAAATACCACAGAGTAGACAAGGAGGGGCCATCACAGCCTTCCAGCTCTGAGATGGAGGTGTCAAGGAAAAGCCAAGCCCAAGTGGGAAAGAAAAAGTGGGAGATGGGAGGCCTGTTGTATGAACTGATTTCATATAGAAGGGGAAGAAGCATGAGTTAGAAGGAAGAATGAGATCAGAAGAAAAACTAAGAAACGCCAAAACCCAGGTGGGAAAGCTAGCATATACAGTAACTGAAGTCCAAGGAAGCCATTATAATCCATGCTTATGAGCATAAGGAAGGGGACAGCTCTACAGAGCCAGGGCGAGGAACAGATCCCGCAGTTTTCATTTATGGTCAACGTACCACTTGGAAGCTCAGGACTGTGCCATGCAGGTGACTTTAAGAGATTAGTAATTTCTAATACATGAATATTGTGAGCTGAGGTAATTATTAAAAACCAAACAAAATAAAACTCTCTAAACAAACTCCCAAAAATATGACATGAGAAAATTTAATCTCTTAGGTATCAGAAATTTGGGTCTGGACGGCCTGCCATTTGTGAGAGCTAGTCTTTTTTGATTGCTAGGAGTTTTCTTTAATGCTCTGAAGTAACAATAGTGAATGGTTTCCCCAAGGGATGCACCTTCTTTCCCCCACTCAGTTCAGTAGCTCCTTCATGGTCAAGACAAAGGAATTGGGAACTCTTTATTAGGTCCACAGCTGAAAGTGAAATTGGTAGGATGGTCACTACTCAGAGAGATAGATGTAAATGAAGTTCCAACAGACCTCCAAGTAGTGGCAAGACAGGACTATAAGATCAAAATAAAACAAATTTCCTTGGTCAAATATTTATTGACACCTCTTATGTGCCTGGTCTGGCAGTGGCCTCTGTTCAAAGGATCTAGTGGTGAACAGGAAAGGGAAGGCCCTAGCTTAAGTAGAATTTACATTCTAACTTGAGAAGGCAAACGATATTCAGACAAATGGGTTGAAAAATATGAGTTGTAAAAAAACCTGAGTTATAAATACTTGTCATGAAGACAGTTAAAACAGAGTGATGTGATAGAGGGTGACTGCATAGCTACTTTGTACTGAAAATCTAAGAAAGTCCTCTTTTAAGAGGTGACATTTAAACTATGCAAAGACCCAGGTGAGAGCCATTTCCAACAGAGGGCAGATCTAGTGTGAAAGGAAGGTGCCGTGTGGGAAGGACAGAAAGACAGTCAGTGGCCTTAGGTTAGTGGGGAAATAGATTAGTAGAAGGAAATGGAATAAAAAATAAGGCCAGGAAGACCATGAAGGACCTTATTTCCAGCTGAAATGAGAGAAATAGGATTTGATTTAAACCTTAAAACATAATTTTCATTTCTTTATAGTGAATGGATTGTCAGGACTCAACATGGATACAAGGAGATGAACTAGGGGAAAGAGTAACAATTTTAAGAGACCATGTAAGAAAAGTGGTCTGGATCAACGTTACAGTAGTCTAGAAAGAAAGAGATGGAAAGGATATTTTTAGAGGTGAAATCAATAGGATTTGGTGATAGAATGTATACAGGTTGCTTGAGCAAAAGAAAGAAATCAGGGACAACATAGATTTTTACGGTTAAGCAGTTGAGATCGGGAAATGGGAAGAACAGGAGAAGCAAAGCTTTCTGCTTGTTTCTGTTTGGTTCACTTCAAGGTTTAGATGCTTTTTGGACTTCCATGTTGTGATGTACTGTCAAGGAGACCTTTGGATGGATGGATCCAAATTTCCAGGAAGTAATCAAAGTTGGGAATATAGATCTGGAAGTCACTTTTAAGGTAGGACTAACTTAAAGCAGAATGTTTAATAAGAAAGAAAAAAAAAAAAAAGCCCCACAGCCAGAGAAAGGAAAACAGTAACTAATGATAAGCTCAAACTGAAAGCAACTAGGGTCACTGTCAATCATAAGTGTGTTCTAGAAATGACACTATTGTGAGAGGTGATGAAGCCACTGTGAGTCTAGTATGTGTTCACAGATAGATAACGTGAATAATAGAAGAAATTATCCTACTAAATCCTAAATACTAGGTTTAGTTACAATCCTTGTAGAGAAACTGACAATCAATGTGATTAAAGTTAAAAAACAGGTTGTTCTAGAAACAGGTTACATGAATTGAAGATAGCTTAGGGAAAAGAAGAATAGAGCTGAATTCATTACCTTGCCTTTTAATTTTTTTTAGTAAGAAAGCTGTAGTTAAACAAATAAAAACAAACCTATTTGTTGACTACTGAAAAGGGGAAATGTCTGTGAAAGAAATCAGTCATTGGATGCATAAAAATATTAATTAAAAATACAGATAAAATAAAGGAGAAAATATTTCCATTCTCATAACTGTTCCAAAGAGAACAGTCAAATATTTTTGCACAAGAATTTAAGCTCCCAAGTATTTTGTCTTGTTCACTTTTACAACCCAGCCCTTAAACGAATGCTGGATAGATAGTATATGCTCAATGAATGTGTGAGGAATGAATGCATAAATGCATAAAATCTGTTCTGAGTTGCATCTCTGATCATTTTCCAGAACTTAGAAAGGTTAGACAAAGAAATCTCTTGAGGTCCTTTCTAGCTCTATGATTCTAAATATCATGTGCAATTCTGGATCAGACTTATTCAGCATAGCTCTGGGCAGCAGAACAGATACTAATGGACATTAATTATAAGTAGATTCCCTACTGCTCAGCATAAAAACAATCTTTTAACAGCTAAAGCCATTATACAAGATGGTAACTCTGTCTTGGGTATATGTGAGTTGTTCAGCTCTG